GGGGGGGGGGGGGGGGGGGGGGGGGGGGGGGGGGGGGGGGGGGGGGGGGGGGGGGGTGTGGTGGGGTGGGGGGGGGGGGGGGGGGGGGGGGGGGGGGGGGTCGGCGGCTTATCATCAATGTGATATGATAAATATAGACTTTTATTCTTGTAATGAGTACTACTGTATTTAAACATTTCACGACAGTCATAGTAATCATTATTCTATAGTCATTCATAAATATAAATTGACTTGTTTTTTTTTTTCAATTGAGACGGATCGTTTTTTTACCCAAAAAATCATTTCAATAAAAAATAAAAAAAAAAACCTCCACTTTTAACGAAATCATAAAGATAAAAAAAAAAAAAAAAATTATTATGACAAAAATAATGCAAATTCTTTTAACGCTTACGACGTTGTTATCGCTCTTATGGACAATCTCAGCAGCGTCCATCGATTTCACTCAACAATTTCAACTTTATAATCGAAATCAAATATGCGTTCATGCGAACCTTTTATCGCACACAACATATCACAAAGAAGCAAGAGAGATTCAAGGATACATCTCTTCGTGTTATTATAGTAAAAGACAACAAACGGTTATAAGAGGTCATTTCACCAACTTGCCCAGTGATTCAAACTTAAGAAATTATCATTTCTACCTATTGAATCCGGATAATACTTTACGCAGAGACTTGTCTCAACTGTTTCAGCGTGGATTAATCATTAATAAGGATGACAACTCGGCCAAATTAATGTTAAACTTGAAGAAATCTAGTGACTTTCCTCTCGATGGAATCGATAGTTACGTTAATGGATGGGTGAAATTCTATCATATACGCGACTCGGTTGTATCTTCTACCTGTCCTGCTCAATTCCACAAAACCGAGCATTGTTAGAATCAAAATATTTCAAGGGACAACACTTTTAAATTGTAATATTTAATGTTTTCTTATGCTTGTGAATCTTTTATCTTTTCTATTTTTTTTCCTTTATATTTTGGACATATGTAAATAAAAATAAATAAATGTACAGTAAAAAAAAAAAAAAAAAAAAAAAAAAAAAAAAAAGACATCCAAACAAATCAACCGTTAAACAAAAAAATCTTATCTATTTTAAGATGCATGTTCAGCCATGCAGTTTGTATAGTCCTGATTATATGATACAAAATAAGTACAGTATGACGAGCATTTTATACGCTAATGGCGCAGTAAAGATAAAATTTTGTTGCGTTCAACAATGTTCACAAAAAAAAGGGATTCGTGACATTTTTCTGTGTAACAAAAAAAAATCCCTCAAATCATTTTGGTAACGATCATCTTCAGTTTATAATATATGACTAATTTTGTTTTGGGTGATTGAAAACTGCGAATTATCATAAAGTACAATGTGTCATCACGCATTTGATCATACCTTATAAACAAATATCAAGGGTATTCTGAAATTCAAAAAAGAAAGGATGATCCCCATTATTCTGACTCATTTCAACATTGAAGTGCATACTGTGTCACATTATAATGGCGCAGAATTCCAGTCCCTCACGTTAAGTTCAAGTCTCCCCTCATAACATGGTTTCGTGGTGTAATGGTTATCACATAGGACTTTGAATCCTATAATCCGAGTTCGATTCTCGGCGAGACCTGCTGTTTTTTTTATTAAATGTACAGTAACATTGACTACCCGAGAATTATTGTGGCACAGTATATTGCTGCGCAATCGAATGGTCATAGGAAAAATGTTTAACCTTTATAATCTTATCTAAATTGCCTTTCAGACCAAACCAAAACGGATAAAGTTTCGTAACACAAAGTTTAAATCAAATTCTTTTTGAAGAAAAAAAACAATGAATTTTATCTTTTATATAAAACATCAAATAATGATAAATAATGATAAATAATGAGAAGTTATTATCTTTCTTTCTTTCTTCCTTTTGTGAGAATAATAATTCGGGAACTTTGAAATAAATTACGGAGTCTTCTTTTCATTGACGAACTTTATAAATTTCATCTCATTTTGACTTTTCATCCTATACAAAATAAACTAAAATAAAATAAAATCTTTTGATAATGAGTCAATACAATCATCTTGTAATCAATAGAAATGGAGGTAGTAGTGGGAGAGTTCCTCCCAATTCATATTCACCTTCTCAAATTCACCGTCAAGATAGTGGCACACTTTCTGAATTGTCAAATTCGGACGAAAAAAAACCTCTTCCAAATAAACCACATGCTTCACCAATGACAAGTTCATTTCTGAAAGTTCCTATTATGGACGATCAAATCGAAGAACTTTTAGATATTTCTAAACCTTCCAACATAAGTGAATTAAAAAAATTAGCGGAGAACCATCCAACTCAGTGGAGTCCAAAAAGTTTAATAAGTGCACTTGAAAGACTTTCTGACACGTCCTCATACAATTACACCGTTAAAGAGACTTTTATAATATTTGAATTACATCTAAGGACTTTCGCTTCGGTACTTGAGGTGTTTTGTCAAAATCCAATTATCCTGAACCGCAATTTAAGACAGAGGCTTTACGATTCACTAACCGAATTTAACGACATACACCACAATATATCTTCTGCAATGGAGCATGGGTTGCATAAAACCTGGAAAGGAAAATTACAACATTTAAATGTAGTTGACATTGAACTCGATCTCCCAACCGGTTGCGTTCAACGTAATTACAACATTGATTTTCTATTGATTCACCTTCGAGACACCATTCATAGTTTGAGCGACGACGAAACGAAATTTCGGGAAGGTTGGAGAAGGTAGAGATATATGATCAATTAAAATAAGGGATATTTATGAAGCACTTGGATGGAATATCATTCTTACATACCCTTTTTCCGTCTCTTTTTTTTTTATAGGGTTAAAGAATTCTTTAAGGGCGTTTTGGGTCTAGCATCTGGAATCGGTGCTGTCGTGGGAGTTCCAAGCTTTATTGACAACGCAAATGCATTAACCACGTGGGGAAAGATGAGAGATGCATTCGGATTCAAAGTCCCAGTTTCAAATTCTTACAAAGACTGGAGACTCTTGCTGATGTTGAAGCATACGTTAGATACTGAAGCTAATAGTCAGCGTCTCAAGAAATTCGGAGAAAGGATGCTTCTCGAATATCTCTGGTATCTGGCGCAGCAAATCTGGAGTAAGCTTACACCATCACGAAACGAGGATTTCGAATTTTCAAAAGTTTTTAATAATAAGAAGAAGCTGTTTGCCGAACTTACTGGAATAGAACCTCTATCTTACCCACATACCTTATGGTTTGGAATCCTGGACCTTGCAGGAAATGTTTCTCTTACCTCCACAAACTCGATCACGCTCTCCTTATGTTATTATTTAGCTCTGGAAAGTTTAAATCATTCCCCGAGCACTTTTATCAGGTTCAAGGCAATCGAGCTCCTTTTAAGCCTTGAACACCGAAAAAGGGATTGGTTCGGTATCGTGAAAGTGGACTTGGATGAATACGCCCAGCACATTGAAAAGAAGGCGAAGTTTGCAACACTTGTAGATTTTGTCAAGTACAAACTCGCTATTTCTTTTCAATTAAGGATGAATTCTCGAAAACCTAGCCTAAAAGCCGCTGACCTTCAAGATGATTTTCCGGCTTTTACGGACCAAGGAGATAATCCAATACTTAATTTGGTTGCGGAAGAATTATTATGTCCTATAATGCTGCAGATTAGCGACGCATATTATGCGTTGAATTGTGGTCACTTTATGTCAAAAAAGGCCTTCGAGATTTATACGAAGGTTCAGAATTCGAAAGGAAGGCCGGTGACATGTTCTATTTGTCGAATGGTCATCGTTGAAGAGAGTATAACATTACTTCCACAATCATCAACATTGGGAGCATTATCTGAGCGACTCAATGCTGCAGGACTTATGCCACAAGAGAATATTGCATCCGAATATGATATTATGTCCGTGATTAGCGTAGTTAGTGAGGAGATTAAAAAACCTCCAAATAGTATGGAGGACGTAATTTCGAAACATTTTGTGGGTTCCACAGACCCACCGGATCGTTTGCAGTACGTAAGGGATAGTTATAAAAAGAATCCTCACACTGCTCTCCTAATCTTAGACAAACTCCTGATGTCTGAGAGGAATGATCCTTGTGTGCTATTAGAGCGCGCAAAGGTACATATGTACCTTAAACGGTTCGGGGAGGCCTTGCTTGATTTGACAACCGCCCTTCAATACGACAATCACAACATGGAATCTTATTTGCTTAGATCTCAAATAAACTTTCAATTAAAAAAATTTAAGGAATCTCTTAATGATATAAATATTTATATCAACCGGATCGAAAGTTCAAAAACTGGAGAGGAAAATTTCCAGCTTTGTCAAAGGGATTTAGACGCTTATGAATTAAGGGGAAACATTCATAAAGAATTAGGCTCCATACAAAAGGGTATATTTGATTTCAGTGTGGTTTTGGAAAATGATAAATCCAACATCAAGGTTCTGACTAGTAGAGGATCCCTCTTTCGAGAACTTCGTAAGTATAATGAAGCTTTGGAAGATTTGACGCAGGCTATTCGGTGTAACCCGAATAATCTATTCGCTCTCTCACAGCGGGGGTCCGTATTTTGCAAATGTGATCGATTGTCAGAATCTTTGGACGATTTAAATCACGTGCTGGATAATACATCAAATGAAGAGGAGAAGTTATGGTGTTTGGCCGAGCGTGGAGATGTTTTCCGTAAACAAAACAAATATTACGAGGCGCTATGTGACCTGGATTATGTGCTGGAACAGCAACCCAAAAACATCTTTGCTTTAAGTAGGAGAGGATGCACCCACTTCATGTTAAAAAAATACGACGCGAGCCTTCAGGATTTGAATACCGTCTTGAAATTGGATAAGCACAATTATTTCTCCCTACTCTATAGAGGGATGATGTATGCTAATATGGGTGACCATTCGAATAGTTTGAGGGACTTTAACACGGTATTAAATCGATTTCCTGACAATCTGGTCGCGATTCGTCAACGAGGAATTTTGCAATTTACTGCAAAGAGATATGAAGAAAGTCTTTGTGACTTTAATAAATTGATCCAATTAAATAAGGGGGACGTGAGAGCGCTCTGTTACAGAGCAGACATTCTTTGTGAACTTGGAGCGTATAAAGATTGTCTTGAGGACTGCAACACGGCTCTGAAGTATGATTTGACAAATTTTCATGGTCTCAGAGTAAGGGGGAAAGCGCTACGAAGATGCGGACAAAATAACAAAGCTCTCATTGATTTGGATAAAGTTCTTGTGCAACAACCTGAAGATTTGATTGCTCTCAATCAAAGAGCTGCTGTCCTAACCTCAATGAAACGTTTCAACGAAGCTCTCAAGGATTGTGAAAAGATATTAATTTTAAATAAACGAGAAGACATTTCGTCTTTTCAAGAGAGGATGAAGGTCTACGATGACCTATCTGAAGCTCTTGGGGTGGATGAAATTTTAATTCATCTGGGGCGCGTACTTCAAGATTCTCCAAAAAATCCTCTCGGATTAACAACCCGGGCGTATATTTATCTGCTCAAGTGGGATTGCGACAAGGCCATTGAGGATTTGAATTTGACCCTTAAACATAAACCCAATTATATATTATGTTTATATCAGCGAGCAAAAATCCATAGAATGACAAAGGACTACAATAACTCATTAAAGGATTTAAAGAGGATCCTAGAGTTAGAACCGGAGAATAATTTTGCTCAGACCGAGAAGAATGAAATCGAAAGCATGAAGGATTTCGATCAACCAAATCATCATAATCAAACCTCGTCCAATCAAAGTCAAACTGGTACTTCACGACGGTCATCAGAGTCGTCACTCTCTTCTAGTACTTCCGCCTCAGCTTCCTCTTTCAGGTCAGGTGCTCAAAATCGATAATGTTAAAAATTAGATAGATTAATTTTTTAAGATTTATTTATTTTATTTATTACGGTAGCTTTTAATGAAGCTTATAAAAGTATTATTTTAATACTTTGTATATTATTTCCTTTCTTATAAATAAATTATAATGATGTATTTATTTTATTTGCAAATTGTTATTTGATTAATTGAACTAAGAAATTCGTGAATTTCAATCTTGCAAATAACTTCAACAATAAACGATGGTAGATACGTAAATCTAGTTGTTTTTATCCTTATGACGAAGGGTCGGCTAGAAAAAAAAAAATAATTAAATAAATTTAAAATTTGCTTTTATTTAAAAAAGGAGGTGGTTCAATACCAGAAGGGTAAACTCCGATTATCAGCTGATCGGGAATTTTTACCTCTTCTTCGGGAGTCATGCGCTAGAAGGCTGATGTCACGTGGATAAGCCTATGTGGGCTTTCTTTCTTTCTTTCCCGTTTTTTTCCAAACGATAAGCCATTTTTTTTTTATATTATATTATTTTTTTTTTTTTTTTTCCATCTTTGTAAGATTTAAGGTTATGTGTTGACATTCTTAGAATAAAAACTTTAATGAAATAGGCTATGTTATAACATTAGTTCTTGAATTTAACTAGGTAAGCCATAAAAAATCAAATAAAATATTATTTACTGTAACTCTTGAACGGGACGCATTCGGTTATCATCAGCCATATAATTAAAAAATTTTTTTTTCTTTTTTTTTTAAAAACCTTTTTTTTTTTTCGCAGAACCAAATCATCCTTTCCTATAGGTAATTTGCAAATGCAGGCTTAAAAGTTTTGCTGAGATCAAACATCATAATTAATAAAAGAAACTTCAAAGCCTTGACAAGTTTTGAATTCAAAGCCAAGATTAAATAATCTATTTCTCTAAATGATCCTCTCACACAAATGAAACACACAGCCTTATCGATTGACCGAAGGCTCAATAAACCAGTTTTTCGTAAATTTAGACGGAAATAGATATCTTTAATTTTAAGCGACAAATCATTATGATCACCAATTAATTATAAAAGCAACAACAATTTCATCCTTCATTTTCTTCCAACCGAAAAAGAAATCAAATATTTAATCAAAAAAAAAAAAAATAAAATCTTTTTTTTTCTTACCAAAAAAAAAAACCAAAAACCAAAAATGTTAAGAAAATTCTCTTTTTTGGCTATTATTGCCATGGTTTGCATGATCTTTGCAGGATTAACCTTGGCTGATCCATTGAATAGACGTCAACAAGGAGGAGCGGTCGCCTACTGTGACTTTACCGACGCTGTCACCGGTCGATTCACTTGGACCAATATACCAGGTGGCAAATGCCGAACTACAGGACAATTCAATACTGGTTTCGAAAGTGCAAATGTTGATGAATATACATTCTTCTTGGAAGACAAGGATGAAAACAAGATCCAAGACCTCACCGAAGAAATTCGTGGACAAATCCACATCAACCCACCGGGCACCTCTCCCTTCGAATGTGATTTCCCATTTGATCTAACAAGCGTTGAGGATGTTGAAGGGTTATGCTTCGTTGTTAAACATGAAGGAAAAACACTCAGCAAAGCTTTGATCGTAAAAGTTGGATAAATTGTAAGATCGTAGGCAAAAAATAATAGATGTGACATAATGGAAGCTTAAATTGTTAGATTTTTTATTTTAATTATTTAAAGCAGAAAAAAAATTTTTTTATTCTTTCTAAATATAGACTAAAATTGGTTAGGATTTCTTCCTTTGTCACGATTTTTCTTTTAAATATTAAAAAATAAAGTTATAAAGTTACGATAAAAAAACAGTAAATTTTGACGAATGTCAAATCTGTCCAATAAAAATTAAAATTTACAGCAATCAATCATAATTAGAACTAACTTGCATTTCTTTTTCATAGCTATATTTACAATTTAAATAACCATTTGATTTCCCAATTATAAGTTGTTCTAAGAAACGAGCATCTTGAAAAAGCGTCAAAGCCAAGGGTAAGAATTTCATGACGTGTTACCTCATAATTTCCTCCCAAGGTTGAAATTCCTTAAATTGAAACTATAATCCCAGAATTCGCAATCTGATTTATATCCAAACAGTTCATGGTTTGCGAATTTTATCATAGCAAATATTTGTTAATCGATAGATGTAAAATAAATTGCCATCACGATTAATTAAAATTTTATCACTTGAAGTACACTACTATGTCTATAAATTTTACTATTATTATCCTATTCTAAAAGGTTCAATCAAATTATTTATCATAAAATTCTCACGTTCCGTTGACTAATGGGAGAAATCAATAATCTCATGGCAAATCAAAAAAGTAAGATTTCAAATTTCTATTAATCACGTATTGTGAACAATTTAAAAATCAATTTGGTTTTTAAGTGCCTAAACGCCGGATTCGTTAATCCTGCATTAGAATTTAGCGGTGTACTGAAATTATTATAAACAATTACAAGAATGTTGTTAACGATAATGCTAGATTATCATTTCAAAAGTCTGATGTTTTTATCCATGACGCAATAAAATTTTTATATTACTAATTTTTTTAAGGTACAAAAATTAGTGTGAAAATATGATAATATCGATCCGCTTGCAATCAGATCAATCATAAAAATGTTAATCGGAATACTGTCGATCGGCATTAAATAACTGAATGAATAAAATGAATAAAAAAAAAACTGCAGGGAATTTCCCGATTCAGTGATAAATTTCTTCATTATAAATACTGAATTTTTAAAATTTGAAAGGTATTTTTTTTTTTTTTTAAAAAAAAATTTAAAACAATGAATTGTACGAATTGTAAAATTGATAAATTATCTCGAGAGTTTCCATCTGATACTATTGGTAAAAACTGTTTTCACATGCCAAGTTTTTGTTTACGGGTAAATCAATTTTCTTTTTTATTTTCTTCAAAATGATTTTCTTTAATTCAAAAAAAAAAAAAAATTTTTTATCATTCTCATCTTTAAATTAAAGTGTATAATAGAAAACCTTGATGTTAAAAAGTCAAAACTAATTTGTCCTGAATGTAAAGGGCATCTTTCAGATCAAGAAATTAAAAAACTAAATTTGGCATGGGAAAATGCACCATTTAAAATTGATCCTTGGAAATTTTCGACAATCACACAAAGAGATAATCTGAATAATCTTGAAAAAGGAGAATTTTTTGTGGTATTATTAAATGGTACAAAATTACAATTTAGATTGGACAAGATCAAAACTGTTGTGGCTTTAAAAGAAGCCATAGAGGAACAAACTAACGTTGAAGTTAAAAAACAAAGATTAATTTATAAAGATGTTGAATTACACGTAAGTTTATTCAAAAAAAAAAAAAAAAAATTATTAATTTATTTATTTATTATTTTCCGGAAACTTTATTTCAGACTCATTCAAGAAATGCTCCAAATCAATTATCCGAATATTCAATAGTAACCGGAAGTCACCTACAATTTATGGTGTTATTATATTCCATTTCAAAAGAATTATCCATAAACGAATTAACTTTTGATCTAAACTGGGGATATTCGTCTTGTATAGTTGATTTTTTAGATGGTACTTGTATGCTTTATACAGGGAGTTGCCTTTGGAGAATTTTTGATTATAGTAAGAAAAGGTACGATGATATTCCTCATATGTCACATTCTGGTGACGTTTTGGACAGCAACAACAAGAGAGGTAACGTGACTTTTTGTTCTTTATCTTTCTAGCAATCCTTACTTATCCTTGTATAAAACTTTTTTTTTTTAAAAAAAAAAAAAAAAACTAGGACATCATCGTATAACAGCAAATTTAGCATTTATGCCGGCAACGGTTACAAAATTATACTTCGTCCTAAGTTCATTTGGTTCTCCAGATATCGGGAGTGTTAAAGATCCTTCGTTTAAATTATTTGATCCTTCAAATCCAAATGTACAATTATGTTCTTATACTTTAAAATCTGCTGCTAAATCACGAGCTGTTATAGTTTGTGTGGTTGAAAAGAGCAGATTCGGTAATTGGAATATATTTGAGATTGGCAAATTATCAGACGGTTATGCAGACAATTATACACCAATCACAAATACTATCAAAGATATGAATGACAATTATTACATTTCATAAAATTTGTCATTTTAACAATAGATAAAGTAAAGAACGAAAAAATTTCATGGAATCATTCAAGATTCGTTTGCAAATATTTATTAAAAAGACATCGGTCACATGATCAGTCGATTAGATAAAAAATCGAGATTGTAGTTACGCGCTAACTTATCCAAGTTTAATTTTGTCTTTAAATCAATATGCCAGAAACAATGTTGGTTAAATGACCATGACTTTTGAAATGACCTCACACACCAATTTCATTATAAATTTCAAGTCGAAATGACGAGTTCTTTTTTTAAAAAAAAATATAAATGACCTTGTAATTCACTGCCAGAAAACGGAATAATGAAATATTTATGTGCATAAAAGTAATGTAATTTCAAATTTTAGTAGATTATAATTTACAAGAAATATGAATGGGTCTACTTGACAAATTCCTAGACATTCAGAAAGCATTTTTCTGGGATAAACCTACTTCAGAATGAAAAGCGTGAAAATTTGTGATATGTTTAATGATTCGGACGATAATAGTTTAAGGAAGATTTGGCCCTAATCTTCAATACGCTTTTTAATTTTCTAACAGAAACAACTCATCTTTCCCTTAACTCATTGAGCTTAGAACTTGACATAATCATCAAACATGTAGACAATAGAACGTGAGATAATAAAAGGACGATATCAATGCGGGATAGATCAAAGGCCGAATTTATGTCATCAATAATATAAAAAAAATAGCATAGCGAGAAGCTCTGCTCTTTGTGGTTTGAAAAAGATGTTATTTGTATCTTTATCCCAAGTTATATTTACGATGACGATAATAGTCAGACAAATCCAGAAAATGAATATAAAAAATTGAACTCAAAAAAAAAGAAACAGAAAGTAATATAAAGGAATATATTATAAAACACTCTTTAGTTGAGCAAAAGTATTGGATATCAAAATGAACATTTAGAGAATCTGACCTATATAAAATTCTTTTGAATCTACTGACAAATTGGTTATATATCTTCCACTTATTAGAAAGAATTATAATTTTTCTAAAAAAAATTTATTTTACTTAATATAATAAAAACATTTTGTAATTTAGATTTTAAAAAGTAATTAAACTTAAATTAATTAGGATTAATTTGAAACAATCCAATCTGTAAAAGTAATTTATTGATTTTTAATCTTAATCCTTAATTTTAATATAAAATTTTTAATCTAAAGTTATTAAAATAAAAATATATAATAATTAAATTAAAAATATTTATTATAAATAAGTTTTATAATATTATTAATATTCTTAATAATATTTAATTATATATTTTATTTAAAATATTAATATTTTTAAATTAGTTTATATCTTTAAAATTTAAATAATCTGAAATACAAAGATTTGTATCTCATTAAAATGAAAATTTAACAAAAAAAATATTGTATAACTAATTATTATAATCTAATTATATATATTTAGTATATATTAATCAAATAAATATGTAATATAAATTTTTTTATTATATTATACTTACTATTTCTTTTAAATAAATTATATATAACTAAAAGATAATAAAAAATTGATATAATTAATATGTGTAATTATTTATCTAAAACTAATTTTATAAAAGAAATCTACTAGATATTTATATTATATAAGTGAATAGTGGGATATCGCCATATAATATAATATAATTTATATTATATGGCGATATCCCACTTATCCTAGATTATATTACTGTCATATAATCTGAATACCACTATATGATCTAAATACCATCATATAATCTGAATACCACTATATAATTTAAATACCACTATATAATCTGAATACTATCATATGATCTAAATAATATAATCTACTTACCACCATATAATCTAAATAATATAATCTAATTATTACCATATAATCTATTTATTTTCGTATATCAGGTATCTTTTTTATACTCTAGCTATCCTTTTAAATCTTTCTTGTTATCTGTATTTTTTACCACCATATAATCTAACTACCACCCACCATTTAATCTAACTACGCTTTTCTTCTTATTTCTGAGTCATTTATATGTTAAATTCTATAATGGAGTTGTTGACCCTTTGTAGCTGTTTGGATATCTGATTTTATATTAAGAATGCTGGCCTTCTGCATCTGGCTGGATACTGAATTCTATATTGAAGTGCTTTTCCTTTGCACCTATTTGGTTGCCTTTCTAGATCCCAAAATGTGGTAAAAAAATATCGTGTTAGATAGCGCAGTATATTTGCGATTAATTTTAGCTGATCTTTTAGGAATGTGATTTGAAGATCCAGCTTGGTACTATGATGGTAAATTGATAATGTCCTGAAATTATCATAGAACTAGTAAGAACTAGAGTATTTCTATTAGTTCGCCAGTTTTAGACCAACTTGGATGCTAAGTTATTATGCCTAAAGATCTAGCTGAAATTGTAAAATAATATTAGCTGAATTTATACTGCATCCTACTGTGTCAGTCTCATGATCCTGTTATAACACTGAACACCCTCTGCCATATAATATAACAAATTCTGTTAGTTAGGTATAATATACATTTCTATGACCAGCCCATTTGATTACCAGAAATGCACCATTTCACAATCTAACTATTACCTATTAGTTGTCAGTATATGTATGCTGATTTTGCATTCTGAAGTTGAAGGTGCAATATGTATTATCTTAACCTAAACCCTTTTAATTACCAGAAGTGCACTATTTCACAACCCAACTATTGTCTATTTGTTGCTAGTATAATTATGTTAATTTTGCGTCCCAAAGTTTGAATTATTAGAATACATTCATATTGTATTTTTGGTATATTTCTGACATATTTCCAGACATATTAGAGTGCAAAATAAGACAGATTTTTTGTTCCTATTAACTTAACTAAAAAAATTTTATAAGAACACTCATAAGAACACATTTGTATATTGCCTTCACTTTCTTGAGTCGATTGATTGCTTTATTTGATATCTGTTCCTATATTCCTATCTGTTCCTATGAAAAATAAAACTTCTAGGAAAAATTTCAATTTTTTTCTATGCTATACGTATAGTGTATATATAGTGTATATATAGTGTACATATGATATATATATAGTGTATGTATAATATGTAATAAAAAAAATAAAGTAAAGAAGTTCAATTTTTCATAGGAACTGATAGGAACATAGAAATACCCTTCCTAGAATTAATCTAAAATGCTTTCTACTGCTAAGGTACTATACAAATGCGTTTCTATGAGTGTTCCTATAGCATTTTCAAGAATTTTAATAGGAACATTGATTTAACTAGGGCTGTTTACCTCTATATTATCTCCCTCAATCAGCTTAGTTAGCTCTGCCAGCTTTTTCTGATAGTATTCTTCTTTTGCCTTATGTTTCTTTGCATATAAATCGCAAAATTCATATTCGCCTCTAGTCCTTTCAATACACTCAGGTTATTTATAAGGAACTTGCCTAGAATCCCTATGAACTTTGCATCCATCTGGATGATAACATCTTCGATTATACACTTCTCTAGTCCTAAGAATATATGGACAGAAATAAAATCTCCAGTTGGTATTTTCTTTCTTCAGTTCCATTTATATATATTGATTAATAATCTCAGGAATTAATTTTATTTTAAATTTTTTTCTTGTGAATATTATACCTTGAGTTTTGGTATAATTATAAATCTTTCAAAAATGACCTAATCCAAGCTTTCAGAATTTTTTAACGTCATGGAAAATGCTCCTTTTCATCTAGAGGCTGAAAAAGAAAAAGTTGGTCAAGTGTTTTATTATTCTGACGAAAATTACTTAATGGGTATCCTAACTCGTGATGAATTAGTTACGAGAAATGATGAGGGTTTGACTTTAATTCTCAAGGATGAAATAGTAAATTATCGAAATATCTCATTTATGTCAATCAACATAGAAGAATCCAAAGAATATATTAATCAAATTCTCCATTATATTCTTCGTCTCTATGGATATCTCATTAATGGCCAGAAAGCAGTTGTCACTATTACTGGTATCAAGGTATTTTTCAATATTCGTATTCCTAATAATACGAGCATTTTCAAATTCTAGTCCAAAGTAAAAAGTATACTTGCTAGCGGGAAAGACAGTAGAGGGAGTACTATAAACATAAATCTAATCCAAATGGAATGTATAAAGGCATATCCTATTTGTGGTTATCATGCGAAAAAAAAGTCATATCTCTGTATTGTCGCACTCAATAGAGATGAAAGGTTTACTGCTCTCAATATCATCTCAAGCTACAATTCAAAGGTTGATCCTGAATGTAAATAGAGACAGCTTCAGATGATATAGATACATATTATCATAAAATTACAAGAGAGTATCAGATAATACTTTCCAGCTGGAGATTAATAAGTGATTATAGATATAATTTCAGTGCACTTTATTATGTGAAATCCCATCACTGCCCACATGCATTTTATATTCACATTGATAGCTTTCGCTCTATAGACAATTTTGAACTACTTTACAAAATCTATCCATCTTCTCTCTTTACTCATGATCGAGCATTAGTTCTAATATAAGACATAGAAATATATGATTCACGTGAATCAGAAAACTTTTCAGAAGCAAAAAATGACACATCTTAAGTTTTTACGATCTGCATGATCCTACACTGAAAAGATGATCCAAAACTACTAGAACAAATATATCTTGTTGATGTTAAGACAGCTTCGAACTTGCACTGAACAATAATTATATGTGAAAATCAAGCTAATTTATTAAAAGCTTTTGCTTTATGTTAGAAATCTTTTGTCCTAGATATTCAGCTTAGTTTTAACGATTCAGGATATGATTGGCCTTTTATTATGAAAAAGGCCACCAAATTAAAAGTTTTCGAATGGATAGTTTAGTGAATGTCAGCGAAACTACGTAAGAAAGCTAATGCTAATTCTATTCTTATTTGGAATTATTTTGGAGGGAAAGAGAAACCATCTAGCAGTAATTTCTTCCAGAGGAATTCACAATAGGTAAAAAAGACAGATAAAAGTTTACTAAATAAGGAT